AAATTGAGCTTTCCTCTGTCAGGTTTTTCCTCTCAAGTTGCTCACCCTGTCGGAGTGATAGTGGTTGTGTTGGTGGAGTTCTGCAGTTCGTAGGTGAGCACCATCTGAGCTCAGGGGTTTGTGCCCTCCTTCTCACTGATTTGCTGGGAGACAGTTCAGCCAGGATAGTAATTTTCCATGGCTGACTGGGAACCTCTCCATCATTTGGACCCTTTCCAAGGGGACCTGATTTTCCCTCTGGAAGAGGTGATGTGACAGCATTGCAGGGTGAGATATCAACTACAGATGTGGTCCTTTCTGGGGTTTTTATAGCAGCATGGCATCTTGGAAGTGTATTCACACATTCTCTTTATTTTCCTTTTGCTCCCTGTCATGGGTGGGCACTTGGGTTCTTTGGAACATGACCGTGTCACCCAAGTGTTGGACCAGGAGGTGGATTTGCCTCCCTGCCCACATTTCCTCTGTGGTTCACAGCTACGGCAGATGGGACCAAAGTAACAAGACAGGAGTGAAAATCAAACACTGGCGAATGTCCCAGTCTGCTTGTTGTTTTTCCCCCAGCTTTAGGTCAAATTTGAGAAACGTGATGAAAGAATGACCTTGGAGGGGGAGCCGCACAGGTGTGGCCGGGCGCGTCCTTGGGCCGCGGGGAAGGGCAGGGCAGGGAGGGCTGTCAGGTTGGAAATTCAGCAGCTGCAGAGCAAACCCAGTCAGCTCAGCCCCACGAATGATGGATCAGCGTCCTCTGTTCAAAAACAGTTGTGCAGCTCAGCGTCACTCCCAGAGTGACGGACAGTTTGCTGATAAAGAAAGGGAGGGCTTAGGGCTCTGGCATATTTGGGACAGAAATCCCAGTTCAAGGCTAAAGCGTGGCTACGGCTTTGAAATGTAACTCCCTGGTGACCTTCCCAAAAGCAAAGGCGCCCTGCATTCCAAGGAGAAACCTGGCTAGCTGTCAGCCATGCTGGGGCACCTCGTGGCTTCACGTGTACCAGCCTCACGCGCAGGCATCGTGGTGGGGTGATCTCTCTGACCTAGCCTGAGAGTGGCTCCAGGGAGATCACCACTGCCTCTCCCTCAAACCTTTTTGTTCTCCCACATCTATGAGTCTTTTGTAGATTTTCCCCCAGGGACCCTCTCCCGTGAAGCAGGTTCCTATATATACAGTGAGGTTTATGTTTGCTGGTATGGAAAAGCTGGGCTGTTTTGAAAAGGCGGAATGACCCACAGAATGAGCTGGTTTTCCTACCTGAGACTGGAGACAGGAAAAAATGCAAATGAAATATGGGTAGTCAGTGATGAATGTGAATTTTTAAAGCAGGTCCATAAAAACATTGATATTATCCCATGAATTATCTGTCACTGAAACCCTGGAAGTATAAGTGAGTTAAGTATCCAGATAAGCGTTTTGACATCTGAATTGGTAGAAATCAAGGCCTGAGGTCCCAGCAGAGAGAGCAAGTGACTCATGGTGGGAAGGTCTCCTGAGTCACTTCAGGCACTGGAGACCCTGGGAGGGGTGCAAGGCTTGATTTAGCTGAGTTCAAGCCCTTTAAAGGATGTGTGTGGTTTAGGCGTGGAGCAAAAGCCTTAGCTAATGGGGAACTTAAATTAAAACACAGTCAGGTTCCGGATGGAAAATAAGGCAGGTTTAAATGTTAACGAGGAAATACAAGTCCAAGTCAAAATCTGTGCTCGACTGTATGAAATGGCTCTGTGGAGACCAGCATTATGGCAGAGTTCATTTGACTTATTGGAGGCATCTATTAGTGCAAAACGCTTCCAAATGGAGAGGAAAATTGTTTTGCTGGGTGTTTTTTTCATCAGAATGCTGACGTGAGTTTTTAAGGAGAGTTGTTCTCCTTGTGTGCCACCATGCCAGGTCTCAGTGGGGTGATGAGGACATGGGAGTAGGTCCAGGTCAGCACTAGGCTCATGGGCCGTGGTTTTGATGTTGCAGCAGCTCAGGTGAAGAATTGGGCTGTAACAGAGGTGTTGCCTCCCAAAATCAGGACATGCAGAGGTGTTGTCTCCAGAAGGACTGGGTTTGCTTCACGTGGGACAGCTGACCCAAGGGAAATGAGGCTGTTTGGGATAATGAAGAACAAAGCGGGTATAAATCCACACACCTCCAGCACGTTCAATCTGTTTTTTTGTCCTCTCCTCAAATTGCTCCTGTAGGACCTTTCTGTCCCCACTCCCTCCCCGGGCAGATGGGCTGGGAGGGGAGCAGCCACGGCTGCTATGTTAAAAGCATCAGCTGGGGCCTTTGGAGGCTGCTGCTCCTGCAGATATGAAGGACCTGGGCCACGTTTGATACCAGGTGAAAGTGGCACAGCCTAATTAGTGGCCTCCTGCTGTTATTAACCTCTGACTCAGACAGGCTATTTTTTAACAGAGGTGCAAGAAGTTAATACTAGTGCTAATGGCTTCCTATCCAAGGCCTTAATGAAAGCCATGCAGGGACCAGGCTTTTCATCAATATCTTTCAAACTTTCATCTTGAAATTATCCTCTCCCCCCACCATTTTTTTTTGGTTAATTTTTGCCTTTCTGCCCACTTTTCTGCCTCCTCTGGGACATCCTGTACAAACTGGTCAGCAAGGTTGGCACCTGCCAGATCTGTAGCAGAGCTGACACCCTACAACATCCAGATAAATCATCCCAGTTGGCTCCATGGGTCACTGTAGCATCTCCCACCAGGTGGTGAGATGTCTGCTTGGAGAGCAAGACAAAGGGAAAAGTGAAATCTGTTGGACTGGGAGAAGAGAGAGTAAAGAGATGCTATGTTAGGGAGGAAGCTTGGTCTTGATCTTGTCTTGGTCTTTTGCTTAAGCCAAACTCCAAGAGAGTTTCACAGATGCAGGAAAGCATTTATTTATGTGTGTAAATTTTTCAAGTGTGCAGTGCAGCTACAGGGTCATGTCCTGATGTCTGGTGAAAGAGGGTAACGTGCTCAGGCTCTGTGGCTGGATTGTGCTCTTCTAAAACAATAATCCATTTTTTATTGAAATGTATTTAAAAAAAATAAGCCTGTTTAAATAAATTTGAAATTATGACAACCTATTTTAAGGCTTAAATTTACTATAATCTATTAATCATTTAAATAACTTCCATCAAGGATTTCTTCTCAAATATTAATGAGCTGAAGGGTGCTGCTTTTACAATGATATGTCAGATCAGGGGGAAAACATCTCTAACTCTAGCTTTCTAAATGTCACAATGTCACATACTTAGTATCTATTATTTTCACTCTTTACAATGGAGCAAATGCTGGTATTTACATTTTTTCCAAATGTCAGTATGTTGAGTTCCTGCTGTGCATGAAAGTTCTTGCCTTAATTACCCATAATTTCACGTTAGCAGGCAGGTGCAGGGAGAGTGTTTTCCTTCATTTGAGCTGGTTCATACGGAGTTGAGAAGCCGTGGGGAGTTGGGAAAGCGGGCAAGCTTGATTTCCCCTCTCAGTCCATGAATAAAGAGCATGTGGGAGAGGAGGAGATCTGCTGCTTCAAATCCTCCCGGCTCCCAGGGCCGGCTTTTCAAAGGGGATCTGTGTCCCTAAACACACAGCTAGAGGGAATTCCAAAAGTGCTTCTGGCTTCCTGGTGACTTAACTCTGGGTTTTGCTTCCCACCAGCGTGGTGGAGTGCTCAGCATCCCTGTGCTGGGGACACTCCAAGTGCCCTGATCACCGCCAGAAGCACGGCCCGTGCTGAGCACCAGCACTCTGCCAGCTCACTCGCCGTGGCTAATGTTTCTTTTGATTAATCAAATCAGTTTGGGAGGATGAACCTGGTTCCCAATGCAGATTCTGCCCCCCTCCCCACCTCCCCTGGCAGCCAGCTCACTTAAGGCAGCCTAATGAAATTAATTAACAGCAAATTTAAGATGTTGTTTTTCAGCGCTGTAATTGAATTCCAGTTTTCATTTGAAGGCAGCATGAAACAAGCAAAATAAAGATGATAATTTGCAAAGTGAGACGGGCGCCTTCCCACTGCCATCAATGGGGCAGGTACAGGAGAGAAAGCTGTGCCTCAGTGGGAACCTGATCGTGTTTTTTCTGGTCATCCCGACAAAATCTGCTATTTTCACAAAAAATAGCTAACAGGCAAATGGCAGGCTTGAGCTGATGGCTGAGATCGAGGTGGTGTGAGATGGTGATCAAGCTGATCTGGTCTGAGGGGGCCACAGTGGTTGAAACAGTGCCCATCTCTCCTAGGGAGAGGTGCTGGTGTTACCCTGTCTTTGGCTGAGACCCAGCTCTAGGATGTCCCTGAAATTTTGGAGTTAGCCAGGTGAATTAGGTTTGATTTGGCATTTAGTGTCCTGGAGCATGTGTCGTGTCCCTGCCCTCAGCTGCTCTTCCTGCCTGAGTGTCCTCTACTTCCATGACAGCCCAGCTTTGTCCATCTGTCTCACTGCCCCAAACTCTGGAATTAAAAGTACTTAGGGAAAATAGGGTTACTTGGGCAGAAGCTGCAGGTACCTCTGCAGGTTTCTGGGCTGAGTCCTGTAGAAAATGTTTGAAAACTGAAAACCTCTGAAATCACAGCCAGGTTCACATTTCACTGCTCACGAAGGATGGTAAATATTTTGTCTGCAATAATTTGTGGTGTGGTCCCAGTGATGCCATGATGCTGCTGAAAAGTTGTCCTGTATCCTGAGTTCCCAATGTCTGAAGCGGTGTGGGTGAAACCTGCCCAAACTAGAGCTGGAAGGAGACTGCTGGGTTACTGCTGTCACTAAGTGCTGTCTCCCTGCACCACGGCTGGAGTTTTGGAGAGGCCCACATATCTCTGGATTATACCCAGAGATAGGGCTTTACTCCCCTTAGCCCTTCAGGTTTGTGATTTATGTAGGGGCATGCACGGTGCTGGCAGGAGCTGACTGGAGGGCGTGCATCCTTTGGTCCCTCCAGACATTTTTTTGGGAAGCGGTGAACGTCTCCCATGAACCCTCTGCTCCACACCTCCCCCTTGACCGGCTTTGCTCTTGCAGAGATCTCAGGCAACACGGATGACATCCCGCTGGTGCGCTGGCGGCAGCAGTGGCTGGAGAACGGCACCTTGCTCTTCCACATCCACCACCAAGACGGGGCCCCCAACCTGCCCGGCTTCGACCCCACAGAGGAGCCGCAGACCGAGTCGGCAGAGGAGGAGCTGAGGATCCTCCACATCTCTGTCATGGTATGTGACGGCGAGGCAGCCCCTGTTTAGCTGTGCAGAAGCCTGTAGAAAATACAGTGGCTTTTGAAAAGCCATTTATTTCCCCATCTGTCTCCAGCTGCCCTAGGGTGGGGAGCTGTGCTCACCTTTGGGGTGGTCCCGATGCCCTGGGCACCCCTCTGAGTGGTGAGTGCTGAGTGCCTTCACAGGCTGCTTCAAAGCTCTCCCTTGGTTCACTTTGAAAATACGTTTGTGGGGTGCCTTTGTCCCCGGGGGCTCTGTGCTTTGAAGGTCTCCACCACGTTAACCCGGGGTTAATTCCCACTGACTCCTCAGGAGCCCTTTGCCCGGCGCATGGCACCTGCTGCCCTCTGCCCTGATGCACGGCGGGTGTCACAGTGCCACCAGGCACTGTCACCACTGCTTTTATCAGCGTGGCAGCCCCGTGGCCGTGGTTTCATGTGCCGAGGTCGCACAGCAACACTCCACCCAGCTACACAGAGAGAAGGTTTTAAAAGCAGAGAAAGGAGAGATCTGTAGGTTTGGGGGAGATCTGTGGTGCGTTTGTTGGTTGTTTGTTTGGTTTATTTTTCTGTTGTGATGGAAAAAAACTTGAAGAATCCTACAATTTTTGTGCCACTGGAAGATAATTATCCAGAGACAATGTGTTGCAGAGGCTGCAAACAGGCTCTTCAGTGGTGTCTACCCTAATAAGAGCTTCAATTGCTCTTCCAGATTGCAGCCCCAGGGCAGGCTTCTCCTCCATCATTTGTGCTTGATTAGTCTGAGGGAAAAAAAATTGTTTGCAAAGCCACTCCCAAAAACATCTTGCACCATTATCTCAATTTTACTGTCTGTTCCCAGCTGCTCCTAAGAGGGTACATCACCTCTTGAGATGCTGGTCCTGCTGTGGTCTTGATCTTCTTGGGCACTGCTGTATGCCAAGATCAAGGCACAAGTGCCTGGATGGAGGTTTGTTACTGAGCTGATGAAAAGGATGTCTGCAACTCATCGCTGTCATACCAAAATGTGCAAATGCAGATTGAGTCCTCCTCTGCCCTTTTTCCCCATCACTCTCAGCTCTGCTCCGACAGCATCCTTACTTCCTGACAAATAGAGCTTGGCTTTTGTGCCAGGAGTCAGGATCACGTGGCGTTTTCAAGGCTGATTTTCCTTCTTTGCTGTGTGGTTGCCAAGGGAAGACATGTGAGCGAGGGATTGTATCCATCGTGACCAAGGTCTGCTCGTGGACCAGGTGAGGAGCACTCCCGCACCCATCCCGTGCAGGGCTCCTCTCCCAGCCATCACATGGATGCTGAACTGGGGGGAATAAAGCAGAATGGGATTTCAGTGCTCCTGTGAGGGAAAAAGGGGCTATGAGGTGGTGGTCTGACCCTCTCCAGTAGGTAGTAGGTAGGGGAGACTTCAGTTCTGGCTTTCATCCTCCTCTCAGAGCCTCTTGAAATCTCAAGAGTCCACATACTGCTTTTCTCAGGGATAATTTGAGCTCTCAGACTATTGGGACAGAAGAAGCTCATTTTCAATGAAATGACAAGTCTCTTTTGTGAACCCACAGCCACTGCCTGAAAAAAATAGGCGTCCACCAGATTTGAGCTCCAGCTTGGTCTCTCCTGTTCACCAGCAGAGGCGTATGGCAGAGCTTGCTGATGTTTGGGAGATTTAATGTGCCTATAGAGGGTGAAGGAAAGCCAGGAATGCCCTGGAATTCCTCCTACCCGCTTGTCAGGCCACCTGCAGGTGGACTTTCTCTAGGGTGATGGAGAGCCATTACAGAGGAGACCATCTCTGGTGAGGATGGGGATAATCCCCACTCATTTATGGATCGTGGGAACTCATAGGGATTGGAGCATGATACAGAATTAGGCTTCCACTTTGCCATTAAAAATTCTGCATGACTATGCCAGGCACTTTATACAAAGGCATGTAGTGATGAATTAGACTGATGCAGAGAATAGATATTGGGAAGAAATTCTTCCCTGCGAGGGTGCTGAGGCCCTGGCACAGGTTGCCTGGAGAAGCTGTGGCTTCCCCATCCCTGGAAGTGTTCAAGGCAAGGTTGGACAGGGCTTGTCCCTACTTTTGGCAAGGGCATTGGAATGAGGTGAATTTAAGGTCCCTACCAATCACAACCATTGTAGGATTATGTGGTTTTTGTGATTCAGGGTCAGTTTTCAGCCCCAGCAGTATTTTCTGACTTCCTGGCTGTAGGCTCCCTGGCCAGAAAGATGCCAGCCAGCTCCCTGACTTCTGCAGGACTGCTGGTCTTCTGAATCACTGTGTTTGTTTTCTCTTTCTTTCTTTTTTTTTTTTTTCTGTTTTTTTTTTCTTATTTGTTTGTTTTGGTTTTGTTTTTAAAGAAAGTTGGGAAGGAGGCTGGGGTGATGCATCACAGCTCCATTATTCTGGAAATGAAAGGGGGTTAAACTGTAATGGCCATTAAACTTCCTTCTCCAGCTGCCTCTCCTGCTTCTCATTCAGTAATTCCCTTAATGTTTTATCCTAATGGAGCGGATTATTACTATTATTTTATTTTCTCAAGATCACCTGTTGCATAAGAAAAGAGGAGGGAGACCAGAGCTGTGGATGGACTCGGAGCTCTTAACTGGCTCCTCATGCTTTTTCTTGTTATTATTGTTAATATTCTTGGCAGATTGTGCATAAAGGGACAGTTTGGGGCTTTCATCTCACCGCACACTATCCGTGTACAGTGACGTCTTGCAGGAGGGTGATCGAGGGTGATCTTGGGGACGGTGGCAGGATGGCCAGGTGCAGTTTTGGGGTCCATTCCTGTGGGACAGGAGCTTTTCCAGCCTCTTTCCCCAAACATGTTCCCCAAACAGCACTTCAGTCATCTGCCTGTCTCAAGCCTTGATCTCTTTTAATCTGTGCTGCAATTGCTGCCGGATACCCTGGGAAAATCTCCCAAGATTGAGAGTGACAGCATTGAAACCGGTTGGAAATGGGTCAGAAAAAGTTGCCCTTAGGAGCATTTGCCTGGAATAAAGCTGATCTCTGTTTTCAAAAGCAGGAGAGTGAAACAAAACATGCTTTGCTTTAAATGCTGCTTTTTCATGCCTCGGTGGCGACTTCAAAACTGGTCCAGCCCAAGGCAGGCTCCAGGCCAGCACTGGGTGCTCCAGGTGCCAGCAGACTCTTGGTGATCGGGCTCCCCTTTCCACCCTGGAGCACCCCTGGGGTGTCTGTGTCCCAGGGGATGGCGGATGCCAGCCCCTGGCTGATCCCTGCTCGCGCCTGTGCCCGCAGGGAGGGATGATCGCCCTGCTGCTCTCCATCCTCTGCCTGGTGATGATCCTCTACACGCGCCGGCGGTGGTGCAAGCGGCGCCGCGTGCCGCAGCCCCAGAAGAGCGCCAGCGCCGAGGCGGCCAACGAGATCCACTACATCCCGTCGGTGCTGATCGGGGGCCACGGGCGGGAGAGCCTGCGCAACGCCCGCGTGCAGGGCCACAACTCCAGCGGCACGCTCAGCATCCGCGAGACGCCCATCCTGGACGGCTACGAGTACGACATCACCGACCTGCGGCACCACCTCCAGCGCGAGTGCATGAACGGCGGCGAGGACTTCGCCAGCCAGGTCACCCGCACCCTCGACTCGCTGCAGGGCTGCAATGAGAAGGCCAGCATGGACCTCACACCAGGTGGGCTTGGGCTGAGATGGGTCCTTTCCGGCTTGTCTTCTCTCCACAGTTCCATACAGGTGTTTTCCCCGGAGCATTTTCCCTGTTTCTCTGGGTTTTCGTTGGGTGTGAGATGTTGGTGGTCCCCTGAAGGCACTCCCGTTGCTGGGAGACCTTTCAGCCTGTGGAGAGCAGTCCCTGCTGAGTGGGACCTGGCTGGGACAATGCAGCTTTGTGATTCCCATGGCCTGACTGAGAACCAGAATGGGGTTCCCTCCATGCCATCCCGTTGTGACCCCTAAACTTCCCTTTGTGTCCCCAGATTTCTGGTGTCTTCTTCAGGTGAGGTTTTAGTAGCTAATTTTTACTTGCCGTCAGTATGGTTCAGAGTTAATGCTGCCTTCTGATCACCAGCAGGGATTCTTTGAGGCTTATCACAAACCTGTTCTTTGGTCATATCACTAACTGAGCCATCCAACTAGAGCCTTCCCAGATAATTTGGGAAGATCATGGTGTGGTGCCTGAAGCTCTCCTGCATATGAAGAAGTGCCTTGAGAGTCTGAGTGTTAAATCTCAGCTTTTGGCTACTTTGGTGGAGGTGCCAATCCTCTTCAGGATCTGAGCTGCTCATTAGTGTGCACTGAGGGCAGCTCAGCTCATTAGCTTCAGCACCTTGATCACCTCAGGATGATCTGGAGATGGATCCGAGGAAACCTTTCTCTCACCTCCCCCCCTTTTAAAAGTCTTCATCCATGAAATATTTTGCCTTCATTTCTTCCTGCTCAGGGAGCGATAACGCCAAGCTGTCCCTGATGAACAAGTACAAGGACAACATCATTGCCACCAGCCCCGTGGACTCGAACCACCAGCAGGCCACGCTGCTGTCCCACACCTCCAGCAGCCAGCGCAAGCGCATCAACAACAAAGCGCGAGGTAGGGCGCTCCCTGGGGTGGGTGGGGCGCCTCGGGCTTCCACCCACCCACATTCCAGCCACCCGCCCTCTCCTGGCATGGAGAAATAGGACCAGAGCGTGGAGAGAGCATGGGAAAGAGGGTTTGGATGGGGAGAAACAGAAAATGTGGTGCCTGCAAGGATGCAAGCAATGTTGGGCTGGCTGGTTACGAAGATGCAGGTGGTGTTTGTCCCAGTAAATACTACAGGATACCGGCACAGCCGTGGGAAAAGTTGCAAGGTAACCCGTGGCGGGGGGGTCTGGCTGTGTGTGCTGGGAAGGGGAGCAGATGCTTTCCCTGCTGCACCTGGCAGATGGAGCTTCTGGTCTGTAGTGCAAGGCTTTCCCTGAAGGGTGGTGTAGGATGCCAAGGTTTGGGGTGGCACGGTGCCAACCCCTCCATGACTACACTCAGTGTCCCCTGCAGCTGGCTCGGCATTTCTCAACCCCGAGGGGGACTCGGGGACAGAGGCAGACACCGATCCCCAGCTGACCTTCTACACGGACCCCTCACGGAGCCGGAGGCGCAGCAGAGGTGGGTGGCGAGCCGTCCCTCTTGCCTTATTTGCCGTTACTTCTCTGGCTTTGGAGGCTTTGCATTGGCAAGAAGATGGAAACCCGAGTGCAATCCCAGCTGCCGCAGGCAGGCACCTGCCCCTGCTTCGCAGCAGGCTGCTGCTGCTCTCCGGTGGAGCTTCTCAGCAGAGGATGAAATGCATTCTGATGTTTTGCTGGAGGCTCCTGCCGGGCACTGGTGTATATTAATGAGGAACACGCTTCAAAGGCTGGCCCGTGCGTTCCCGTGCTGCTGCTCAGCACCGTGCATGTACCAGCTGAGTGTGCACCACAGGATGGGAACAGCCTCAGTCCCAGGCAGGAGTCCTGCTCCCTTGCCCTGCTCTGTCCCTCTGGGAGGTTTCCTCTTCCCAAGAGGAAAGTTAGTGTCTGTTTTCCCTCGTTGAGTCTTGTTTGCTGGATGATGCCTTGTTTTTCTGGGAGTGGCAAGACTGGGAGCCATCTCCTTCAGCTGATGCTGGAGGGCTCATTCAGGCTTTGTCTCCAGACAGTTTGTTTTCTGCTCAGCTTCTTCAGCTGAAAGATTAAAAGTCAAAGACCTGCATGCTCTGAGCAGTTAGGGCTCTCTATTGCTTTTTCAAGAGCATCAATGAGCCTGTTGTCATGACAAAATTAACCCAAGTGAAGTGCCAAGAAGGAGTGGGGAAAACCAGGATACTGCATTTACCTTTTTTCCTAATATTGCTGCTCTGCTTTAAAGCTCTGCTGCTGTAAAGTTCTCAGCATGCTGCAGTGCAGGGTGTGGGAGAGCCAGGGCTCTGGGATATCAGGAAGATCTTGGTCACAGCGGGAGAGAGGGATGGAGGGTCCCATGGCAAAGGCTGCTTCATGTTCTTCAAAGTCCAAAGGGATTCCATTTGATTTGATTGATGCTGGATTTCCAGGGGGCTGGGCAGGGTCTCTGCATCCTGAGGTCCCCTGGCTGTGCCTGAAGATCTTCCTGGGTGCTGCAGGTGTCAGGGTTGACTGTGCTCCTGTGTTTTGCAGTGGGGTCCCCCCGAAGCCCTGTGAACAAGACCACGCTGACCCTGATCAGTGTGACGAGCTGTGTCATCAGCCTGGTGTGCTCTTCCCACATGAACTGCCCCCTTGTCGTCAAGATCACCCTCCACGTCCCTGAGCACCTGATTGCTGATGGTGAGCACCCCGTGGCCTTACCCATTCCTTCCTGTCCCCTCTGTGAGGATTGATGGAGGAGAGGGGGAATGACGGACAGGGTGGGTGCGAGACAGGAGGGACAGCTGTGGATGGAGGGCACCAGTGTGGGGCAGAGGGAATGGGCATGGGATGGAGGGTGTGAGCACAGGACAGGAGGGATGGGTGGAAGAAAGAGGGGATGGAGGGGAAGAGTCCATGACAGAGGGGACTGGTGTGGGATGGAGGGTACCATGTTGGGAGCAAGGGATGGAGGGGATAGGCACAGGACAGAAGAGACAGACACAGGGTGGTGATGGCTGTTGTGGGACACAGGGCTTGCTGCAGGATGGAGGCGATGGGCACAATGCCAAGATTATTGTGGGTTGGAGGGGGATGGATATGGGATTAAATGGACCATGATGGGATGAAGGACATGGTGGGACAGAGGGATCAAACCTCAGTGTGGGACCAAGGGGAGCTGGGAGCAAGGGATGGAGGGGATAGGCACAGGACAGAAGAGACAGACACAGGGTGGTGATGGCTGTTGTGGGACACAGGGCTTGCTGCAGGATGGAGGTGATGGGCATAGGGCCAAGGAGATTATTGTGGGTTGGAGGGTAATGGATATGGGATTAAATGGACTGTGATGGGATGAAGGACATGGTAGGACAGGGGGATCAGACCTCAGTGTGGGACCAAGGGGAGGGGTGTGGGTTGGAGATGGCTGCTGTGGGGCAGAGGGGAAAGGGACAGGATGGAAGGAGCTGTCATGGGATAGAGAAGACAGGTATGGAATGGAGGGGGTTGTCATACGGCAGACAGGATGGACACAGGACAGAGCATTCCTTGTGGCACTGGGGGAACTGTCGTGGGACAGAGGGTGCTTTCTCAGGATGGAGTGAAGGGCAGGGGAGGGAGGGATCCATCACAGGATGGGGGACAAACATCACGGGATGGATGGGATGCGGGGAACCACCGTGGGATGGAGGGTGCAGCAGCAGGTTGCTGTCACTGACTCGCCTTGTCTCGGTGGCAGGAAGCCGGTTCATCCTGCTGGAGGGGAGCCAGCTGGATGCCAGTGACTGGCTGAACCCAGCACAGGTCGTCCTCTTCTCCCAGCAAAACTCCAGTGGGCCCTGGGCCCTGGACCTCTGTGCCCGGCGCCTTCTGGACCCCTGTGAGCACCAGTGTGACCCCGAGACTGGTGAGTGTTCCTGAGGGTGGGGTGGGCTTGTGAGCTCACCTCTGCCTCCTCAGCCTGGCTGTGGTGGGAAGGTGCTTCCTCACCTTCTTCCTGGGCAGTAGGGAGCTGCTGGGTGTCCTGGTGTGGCTGCAGGCTGCACCTGGCAGGGAAGCACATGGAAAGCCTTTGTTCTCCCATGTCCCTGATGTCCCTGTCTCCACAGGGGAATGTCTCTGCTATGAAGGGTACATGAAGGACCCCGTGCACAAGCACCTCTGCATCCGGAACGAGTGGGGAACGAACCAGGGGTGAGTGCCCAGGCTTGGAGTGTCCTCACACGAGCTGCTGGGCTTCCACAGATCCTCACCACAGCTGTGGTGACTTCTTGGATGGCAGGGTTAGAGGCACCTCAGTGAATTGTAAGGTCAGCACACGGCTGGGCTCTGCAGCAGGTCTGCTGGAGGCGAGGATTTCTGTTCTTTAAAACAATCAGGAATGATCTACAAGAGGCCATTGTCACGTTTCAGAGTAAACACCCCCTGGAGAAGATCGAGGCTGTTCCTCCCACCCTTGTGTGCACTATCTTGGGCATCCTGCCCCTTGTGGGGCTTTGGTTTTGGGTGTATGAGGCATCAGAGGAGGGCTGAGGTAGGGCTGAGGTCCCCATTGAAAACTGGAAAAATTAAATGCTTTGATACTGTGGCTGAGGGAAGAGAGGAGTCACCATCTGCTCCAAGCTTTACACACCTGGAGGTGGTAAAGGAAATTTTTCTGATGTTTCAGCACCAATTCGGTGGTGGATTCCAAAAGTTCCCATCTCTCTGTGACCCTCAAGGGGATGCTCCATCTGTCCCTCAACACCTGTGGGTCTGTGACGTGCAGCTGGGGCCTCCCAGGAGTGGCTGGAGGTGGTGTGCAGAAAGCCAAACATCCCCAGATTCAGAGGTCCCACGTGCATCAGCACCAAACCCTTTTTTACCCCCCCTTATCTCATTACATGGCAGCTGAATCCGTGCTGTCCCTGCACGTGTCAGGATGCCCTCTCTGAAGTGATTAGTCTTCACAGTGGGAAGAGAGAAATCATCAAAGGCTGGGCTTGGCGTCCCCCCTGCCGTGTCGCTGCGCTGGGGGCTGTCGGTGCCAGCACTGCCCCGCTGCGTCCCTTTGAACAGGGGCCCTGGGGAGAGCACTGCTGCTCCATCTCCAGCCCCCTCTCTAGTTTTTATCATTTTTAAGGCAGTTTAACAGCTGAAGGCAGCGTGGAGCACCGGCTGTGTCAGACAAGCTGCTGCTGTGGGTGAGCCAGGGCGATGGCCCCGCGCTGGGGATGTGCTCTGGGCTGTGCTGGTGGTCCCCAAACCTCTGCTGGGGTGGGACAATGCAGCTCCTTGTCCTGCCTGTCCCCAGGGGCCAAGAGGAATGTCCCCAGCTCCTCTGTGCCATCTCATAAGAGGCATTGAGTGGTGGGCTGGGGTGTGTGGGGGGTTTTTCCCCTGCCTCTTTTGGGAGGTGCTGTGTTTAGGAGTGTCTCACAGTGGGCTGGAAAGAGCCCACAGCCACCCGTGGCCACATATGGTTTTGTGCCAGCCTCTGCCTCCATCTGAGCAGTGTGTAGAGCTCAACACCTTGCAAAAAGCAAATTGGCAAATAACTTTGTCCATCGAGTCTACTAATAAAAGAGGATAAGTGCTATGGAGAAACATTTGCTTCCTGAGCCTCTGCTTTTCCTTTGCCCCTGAGTGTGGGTCTGCAGATTCACACTTTTCTTCCATGCACACTGCTCTTCTCCAGCTTTTTCCTGATTTAGCTGCTTCACTTTCTGAAGGCAAAGTGGAGAAAAAGATGCTGCTTTCAGGTAGACTGGGAAAAAAAAAATAGATGTAACAAGCAGGAGCAGAGCCAAGGGCAAGAAAGACCAATACATTCCTAAAGCCCGGACCTGTTTGCATCTCCTGACCCAGCTTGGGTCTCAGCAATGCCCACCTGAAAGGTGCTCAGGACCTCCCCTGTTCCTCTGGGGGATTTGGGGCTGCTTTTTTAGACCTATCTCCAGCCTCAGGCTCCCACAGGAGCCTTTTCTCTGCCTTTTCTCCTGCAACAGGATTCCTACCTGGCTACGGTACATCTTGTCTTGTGTTTCTTCTTCTATACCAGAGTTGGCTATGACTAAATATGTGCAGCATTTCCAAAATATTTTTCTGTTTGAGGCAGAGAAACCTGGCAGTTCTCTTTTTCCCCAAGGTGCCACACAGCCCTAGACCACGGTGGGGCTGTCAGAGTCCTTCTGTCCTGCTCTGGGCTCTCGAGAAGGTTCCAATGCTGCAGCTGTCACCATCCTCAGAAAACTCTCTCAAGCCTCTTGAAACTGGGGTCATTTTGTGTTTCTTCACTGAACTTGTCAGATTCTTGTTTCATAAAATGGTAGCAGCTGAAACCACACTTGACCATCCCTACCTGCAACTTCCACTATTTTTAGGGGCTCCTGAAAGCATGTTCACATTAAGCATTGTGATGCCAAGGGCAGCTTGGTGTTTAATGGGAGTGGTTTTCCTTTTCTGCTGTCTGTTCCTGATGTCCAGGTGCTGCTTAGTGCAGCTCTGCCGGGGAGGGCTTGTGATGGTGGAGGTCCTTTTGCATGAACCTTTGGCCTCCACAAGGTCATGACAGTGATGAAGTCTCCTTAGTCTGGGAAAACCATCTTGTCAGAGCCTGTTTACCTGAATAACTTGTAGCTGTAATCTGGTATTTATGTTTTTTGGGGTAGAGGTTGAGAGCTGTTCTGTCTTTTCTTGGGCTCATCAGCTCACTCCCAGTTCTAGGCTCACCTGAAAGAGATGCCTGCAAATATTCTGCTCTCTCCCCATCTCAAGGTGAGATCAGCTGTGCCTGAAACATTTCTGACTGCTGTTTGTCCAACATGCTCTGAACCCTCCAATATTGAAGTGATGTTCTGCTGCCACGGGTCAGTCCCCAGAGAAACCACGCTGGTGCTTGGTCAACAAAGCAGGATTTGTCAAATCCCTTGGCAAACTTGGGAGTGATGTGTTCTGCACCTGACCTCTTCTGTTTTCCCTGGGTGGCCTTTTTATCTGAAAACTCATTTCAAGCCTTTGTTTTAGATAGTTTTGCCGCTGGTTTGTTTTTATTTACAGTGATGACAAGTTGACTCGGTGTCTGCTCACTCAGTAGCATCTAATTTTGCTCATGAAGGCGAGCTCATCTTTGTACTTCATTGGTGATGGCAGTGAGAAGCTTTTTGTGTTGTGTGTATTTTGGGTACCAGACTGAGATCCACGCCTCCACACTGCATCTTTTACCCAACGTGTCCAGACCCTAAATCTTCAGTTTTTTCAAAAACTCAGATCTTTTTGATCAATAAATTTTTTTACCTTCTTTTTTTTTTTTTTTTTTTTTTTTTTTTTTTTTGGTGTGTGTGTGTGCTGCTCTTCGCCTGTTTTAAACAAATCTGTCTGGTGCTGTTTGTGTGCTCAGTCTGTCTCCCTGCTTTGATATGCATTGTTAATTAGCTGCTTTTCGACTCTTACTCTAATGTTCCCTGAGTAGGATGCAGTTTCTAGCAATCTTACCAGCCAAGCTTCATCTTTAGCTTCATCTTTGCTCATCAGACCAAGTTTCTGCCATTCTTTTTGTGGTATAACTTGGCCAAAAATCAAATCAGCGCATTCTGTCTTTACTTAATAAACTGTTACCGGCCTGCATTTGTACTTTTTCATCCCTGCTCTTAGATCCATCGTGTCTTTCCCCTCCCCATGGTGCACTTTTCAGCCTCCCCCTTCGAGATTTAAGGTGCTCTGCATTTGAGGAGTCTTTTTCAATGTCCTCTTTCAACTTGTGATGAGCTTCACCGTGGCCTGGGGAGGTTTTAAGGCAGTTTAAGGTGATATGGTGAACATGCCAGGCTGGGTGCTCTCATCCTGCTGTAACTGTTGGGAAGCTGTCCCACCCCAGTCTTGCTGCCCCACCCGCAGCCTTGTAGATGTTTTTTTTCCAGCACAGGACCCGAATTAGTGCTCACCCAGCTCCCCTCCCCATCCCTCCTCTTCTGCAAACAGATATCCCCATCCTGGCAGTGCACCTGCTCCTCTTATCCCATCCCCATCCCACAGAAGAGCGAGGGACACACTGGAGTGACAAATACAGCACTTTTCCTGCTGAAAGTCTTTATTTTTCTCTCTTCTTTTTCACCCCGCACCCCTTTTTCTATATTTTTTTCCCCCCCTTGCCTCTCTCCATCCCCTGCTGTGTGCCTGTGCTTTGCAAGCTGAAGGACAGCCTGATAAAAATCTCCTGGTTCTTTCAGATGGGGTGGGCTGGGAAGGGGAGAGGCGTGGGCAGCTGAAACCCGAGCGGAGCTGCTGCACAGCAGAGTGAAGGTGGGGAGGAGCTGCCATGGGCATTGCCACTGGAGATGGCACTGGATGCTCAGGTGGCACCTGCTCTGCCATCAGGGCCTTCAGGGGTCCCCACGCTGGGGTTCTGGGGTGCAGGTGCTATGGGGATGCTCTGGTCTGTTCATCCTTGTGCCGTGCACTGGTTGGAAAGCCTGAAAAGCACAGCAGGTCAGGGCACCAGAGGGGAAGCCACCTATTCCAGCGTGCACCAGCCAACCACTTTCTCCTCCAGTGACGTTTCAGTCACACTCCCCTGCAGCAACTTCTTGTGCCTTCTGCAGAGCCCCTCTCCTGCAGCCCCTCCAGCCTCTTGCCAGCTCTCCTCAAACCAGCTGCTCCAGGTTAGCTCATGGTGGTCACATCCTGCCAGCTCTGGGCTTATTCCTCATCCCACCATCTTGTCTGGAAGAGTTTTGCAGGCACTGGGGACAAGCTGGAGCACAGTTCTTGATGCTAGCAGTCGGTCTGGCCTCCTCCCTGGGGGCTGCAATTTGAGCATGGCCAGGGCCCTGTTGGGCTGGTTCAAAGCATTGCCAGCAGTGCCAGGTTTGGAGGGCTTAGCAGGTGTTTTGTGAGCTTCCACTCAAGCCCAGATGTGGAGCAAAGCGTCCAGATAATGGTCCATCTAGAAAAGCTGAGAGGCTTAAGATTATCCTGGGGATGCACTGGCAGCACTTTGGCCTTAGGAACTTGCTGGCTGAGTGTGGGGAATTTGCTGGTTCTCAGGTGCCCTGGTAATTCCCCATTTTGTTGTTTCAGGTGCCTACCTGAGTGCCAAGGCTTGCAAGAAGCTGAGAGCTGTCTTTTCTGGCCCATTTAATCCAGCCTGATCAGCTGCAGAGCTGCTGATCATTCCCACTTCTCTTTGTGACCTCTGAAGGCCATGCAACCCTGACTCTCCCTTGCCATGTAGGGATGTAGCTAAAGGCTGAACATTGCATTTAAGGGGCTTTTTTTGACCCCAAGCAAGGGAAAAGTGTGGCAGGCTGAGGAGATGCCACACATCTCCTTTCCTGGAGCACAGAAACTTTTTCCCTGGATCAAAGGCATTGTCACTTTTTACAAGGGCATGTAGCATTAAGACCAGGGTAATGGGTTCAAACTGACAGAGGGCAGGTTTGATTAGATATTAGGATGAAATTCTGAAATTCTTCACTAGGAGGGTGGGCAGGCCCTGGCACAAGTTGCCCAGAGAAGCTGTGGCAGCCCCATCCCTGGAAGTGTTCAAGGCCAGGCTGAATGGAGCTTGGAGCAGCCTGAAACAGTGGAAGAGGGGTAGAATGAGATTATCTTTAAAGTTGCTCTCAACCCTGCCTATTCTGGGACTCTATGATCACAGGAATTTTAGCCACATTTGGAAATTGCATCCTGGGTGGACACAACATGGCTTGGGTGCTGATTTCAATCTCCCAGCTGGGTCCAAATACACGGCTCCATGTCCTGGGTGTGTTGTCATCCATGGGCTCACACGTGTGCCACCAGGCAGAGGTCTGGCAGTCCCTGTGCATTTACAGCACCTGCCCCAGCGCTGAGCTCTGCTGCAAGCCAAGAGCAGCTCTCCACAGCCACTTTTCCACCTGAGCTGCTGAGGAACAATGCCTCGCTTCTATACAGCCTCTGCCTTTGTTCCCAGCCTGATGTGCTCCTCAGAAGCAAGAATAAAACCCATCTGCAGGAGCACTGGAAGCTGGGGGAGTGAAGCATTCAAGGTGTTGGCGAGACACAAGGAGCACATCTCTTTCTGGATGAGGCTGACCTCATTCAAGGCAATCCGATTGTGGGCTGAATGTAATCCCCAGCTCCCAGTTGACCGGACAGGAAAACAGCATTGTATCCCAGCAAAGGAATGCTGTAATCCTGCAGTCAGGATTTTTGTATTATTATTATTTTTGTCCTTGCTGAAATAACTTCAGATTAGAAATTAAACTGCTTGTGCAGGAGAGCTGTAATTGCCTCGAGAGAAAATCCCTGCGCTTGTCACCGGCACCTGACGCTCTTGACTCTGAATTTTAGCAGCAGTGATGCAGTGGGATGGAAAATCTCCTCTCCCCAGCTCTGAGCTCTTCCAAAGGGGATTTTGAGTTTTAGGGTTTTGGAGTTGGGTTCATGTTGCCTGATTCAAGGCTCACCATGACTGGGTCTCTTGTCTGCCTCACTCTGCAAGTGGTGGTCTGCCAGCAGGGCTGTGCTGCTGGGGGTTCATGTCCCAAAGGTGTTGTGGCCATGGGTGTCCCACTGAAAGGCACCACCCTCCAAATCTTAGTGGCTCATCACTCACCACCCTGTGCTATCTACAACCAGCTCTCCAGCCTCCTGCTTGGCTCCACGCTTCCACCTTGTCTTCCAGCCCACTTTGCAAAGCTCCCCCTCCTGGAATAGTGAAACACAAGGGTGGTAATAAGGCAGGTGCTGAAAATGGGGTCCCAGGCTTGATGTGCTGCCTGGCAAAAGCCTCAGAGAGAAAGGGTCCAGCTGTGGCTTGGTTTTCTTTTTGCAATTCAATAGCTGTGATACAAATCCCTGAAACAGAACCAGGCAGGTGGTACCAAACATGAAGGGATGTGAGGATGGCTGGAGTGCATCCAACCCCAAAATAACAGATACAACACGCCACTGGCCTATTGGCAGGGAGCTGGAACGAGAATCTGATGTTGTAGGGACCCCAAAATTAAGATCTTGGATCTGATGCTGTTTTATTGTGTTGTCCTGGCTATCCTCGGGGTCACCCTACCCTAGGACCCTCCTGCATGTGAGCTGAGGGCTGAGCAGGGGAAGCATTTTGGGCTGTGAGCAGCTGTGAGGACATGATGCTGGTGTGATGCTCCTGGGTTTCTTTTCCAGGCCCTGGCCGTACACCATCTTCCAGCGTGGCTTTGACTTGGTGCTGGGCGAGCAGCCTTCTGACAAGATTTTTCGGTAAGTGGTGAAGGCAACATGCTCAGCACATTTTGGGGCTTAAATACGACTCAGGGCATGCAGGTAGCCCAGCTGGCAGGGCTGAGCACAGCTATCCTGTGCCACCTCCTGGGGACATGTGAGCATGGCTGGGAAGATCCCCCTGCAGCTTCATGTGGGTGCTGGATACCCAGCAATCAGTTCCTCCTCTCTGTCTGTGGTGAGAGTGAATTTTAGTCTCTGGAGGATGGTTTCTATGGAAAATGGAAGTGCCTTTTTTTTTAAGTTACGTGCAATTTTTGGGAATCATTCGGTGTGTTTGGAGGAGCCACCCCATTTTACCCTGCCCACACCTTAGTTTGGGCTGACATCCTTGAAGGATGAGCAGGGAGGCTCAAGGGCTTGGATTTGGGTGGAGACAACCTTCCAGGGTCAGCTTTTCCCTCTGTGCCAGCCTTTGCTGCTCTCCCTGGCAGGTTCACCTACACCTTGGGGGAGGGCATGTGGCTGCCCCTGAGCAAGAGCTTCGTCATCCCACCAGCTGAGCTGGCCATCAACCCCTCAGCCAAGTGCAAGACTGACATGACGGTGATGGAGGATGCAGTGGAGGTCAGGTAGGTGCCATGGCAGGGTGAGGGAGCTCAGGAGGGGCTTCAGCAAACAGAGCTGGCATCCCCATCCCACGTTTTGCAGGTGGAGATTAGTACAACCATTCACCTGCCCCTCTTTAGTCCTGCAAAGCCAAGCCTTTGGCAGTATTCCTCCTCATCTCAGTACCTCCTGCATCCTTCTAAAGGCTTGGCTGCCATCCAGTTCACCGTCAGCCCGAGGAAAGCCTGAGCTCTGGAGAAACCCCCGCAGCAGCCACGGTCATGCACGCATCCACAACACCTTGTGGAAGCAGTGACACATCTCCTCTTCCTCCTGACAGGGAAGAGCTGATGACCTCGTCCTCCTTCGACAGCCTGGAGGTCCTTCTTGACTCCTTCGGCCCCGTCCGCGACTGCTCCCGGGACAACGGGGGCTGCAGCAAGAACTTCCGCTGCATCTCGGACCGCAAGCTGGACTCCACGGGCTGTGTGGTGCGTGACCCCGGGACCTGGGATCCCCCTTGGTGGGAGCGAGGAAGGGGAGGCCACAAAGGGAATTCTTCCTCCCTTACTGTCACTGCGGGGTGGATATTTTGAGGTTGATTTTGTAGCAGGAAGATGTTTTTGGGCTGGTATCTCCTCTGTTGCTGGGCACACACACACACACGAGGCAATAAGAGTCCATCTGTTGGTTGGCTCTGTGAGAGGCTCCAGATCACTCATGTGTGTGCCCTGTCACCACCACAGCTGCTCTGCCCCAAAACAGGGGTCTGTGGGGCTGGGGTGCCCTGCTGCAGTGTCACCAGACCTGGGCATTGGGGTGAAGAGGCTGTGAGTGTGGGGCAGAAAGTGGGTGTGGAAAGGGCAGCACCGCTTTGTCAGTCCCTGGAGCTGGGTTGCTGCAGAGTGGGGTTGATACTAGCACATTGCCTTGGTAGGGGATGGCTTGGGGGGCTCCCACTTCAGGGAATACACTCCTGAGGGCTGCAGAGAGGCTTTGGTGCAGGAGGAATACCTGCAGCTGTGGATGGTGCTGCTGTCCTTCCTGCAGCCCCTGAGGACTGCTCAGGCTGCAGTTTCTGGTGAAGAGCAACGCTGGAGCCCTGCCCTCCACCTCAGCCCCAGAGACAGACACCTTCCCATGGGTTTTCACCTCCTCCTTCTCCCACCCCACCAGTGCCCGACGGGACTGAGCCCCATGAAGGACGGCACAGGCTGCTATGACCGTCACGTCGGCGTGGACTGCTCCGACGGCTTCAACGGGGGCTGCGAGCAGCTGTGCCTGCAGCAGATGGTCCCCCTGCCCGAAGACCCCCTGCTCTACAACATCCTCATGTTCTGTGGGTGAGTGACCCATCGTCACCTCCCTGGCCACGGGGACACCCCCAAAGCGCTGCTGTCCATTGCTGCTGCCGCCCTGAGCTTGTCGGGTTGGGATGGAGGGGGTCCTCTTTGTTCTTGCGTCTGTCCCCGGTGCTGGGGGGCTGCAGCTGACAGCAGACCCCGTGCTGGCTCCCCAGGTGCATTGAGGACTACAAGCTGGGCGCGGATGGGCGCTCGTGCCAGCTGATCTCGGAGTCGTGCCCCGAGGCGGGGGACTGCGGCGAGCCCCGCGAGCTGCCCATGAACCAGACGCTCTTCGGGGAGCTCTTCTACGGCTACAACAACCACTCCAAGGAGGTGGCACCAGGGCAGGTGCTCAAAGGCACGTTCAGGTGAGTTGCAGACGTGGGGCGGGGACCCCAGCAGGGTCAGACCTCACCATTCTCTCCAAGAGGAAGGCGTGGGAAGGAGCCTGGGGCTGGACTGTAGCAGACTTCCTGGTCCATCCATGGATCTGACACTTTCCATCAAGAGTAGACATCTTTTTAATCTGTTCCTGGAGGAAAGGAGAAGTGCCAGGTGTTTTTTTGGGATGGGTCACTTGCTGGCAGTCATTTCTGCTGCCCTCCAGCCTTGCTCTTCTCTCTTCAATTAACTTCCAGGCAGAACAACTTTGCCCGGGGCCTGGAGCAGCAGCTGCCGGATGGGCTGGTGGTGGCCACAGTGCCCTTGGAGAACCAGTGCCAGGAGGAGCTCTCTGACCCCACGCCCGACCCTGAGTTCCTCACTGGTGAGTGAGTCCAGCTGGATCCACGTCTCTCCCACTGAGGCAGCTGTCAGCCTGTCCAGCTTCAGCACCCTTAGCTCCCACAGGATAGATCTGCTGAGGGATATATCTAGTCTGGCTTTAGCACCCAGTGCTCAGCTGCACATAAAGGAATCAGCAGCTGAGGGTTGGTTCCTTTTCCCAGTAAGAGGAAGGCATTAAAAATGAAGGAAAGGCAAAGGCTGTAAATTAATTGTGGAGTGTAAAAGCTCAAGCATCCGTCAAATATTTGGGGCATTTGCAAAAGGATTTTTTTTCTTTTTTTTTTTTTTTTTTTTTTTAAGGCAAAAGCTTTTCCAACTACCTTTGATTTTTTTTCTGATATAATGAAGCATTCAAAACCCAGAGCCAACAAACCTAAATGTTTTGGTTTGCCATACCAGAGCATCATGGGCCATGAGTGATAGGTTATCATGGGTTCCTAGACAGCCTTCAAGGATTTTCCTTTTTTCCAAGTTGCCAGTACTCATAAATAGCCTTCATTTTCCTTGGTATTTGTTGCTGTTTATGGGAATAAATCACTTGGGACTCCATTTTCTTCATGGTGGAAAAAAGCCATTCTTTATTCACATAACTCTTTTTTATACAGTTTTACAGATCTCGTGTAGGACTACAATTGGTCAGTAGTTTTCTTGCCAATTACTTTTATTGGTTAGTCCTGTATTGATTGGTCACTCAAACTCTTGGTGTCTATGTGCAGGGACAGTTGTTTAAGATACTTTTCATTTTTCTATCTAACAGTGTAAATCCAGTTTATACAGGTGCTAGTTGTTTTTTTAACCCAGGAATAGTTTGTTATGCTAACGAGCTGCTCACACCTGGATTGCTTTCACATGGGAACTTGCAAAGTGCTAGCTTGACAAGGCCAGCCACTGATTTCAGGAGAGCAGGTTTGATTTTATGAAGCCTTTCTCTATGATTTTTCTACCTTACTGCAACACTGTTGACTGAAATGGCTCTGACATTGAGGAGCTACTAATCACAGGATGTAAGGCTAGTAAGGTGTTTTTGTCTCATAGGAGACCTTGTGCATTCCCTTTGTCTGGCAGAGCTTCCAGGAGGATTTTGGGGAGCACCCATGGACTGTATCCAGGGTCTGGTGGATGCTGGTTGCCCTGACAGGGTGCATGGCTGTGAAGGTGCAGGCAGATTCAGCAGGGAGGAGGGTGCTGGTGGGTCTTGGGGGGCTGAGCTTCCCCCAGAGAGCTGAATGGGTGGGTCACTCTTGCTTCCCTAGGAATGCTCAACCCTGCCTGGAGGTGCTGGAGGACACCTGCCTCCCAAGGGGGCTCTGCTGCCTGTCACATGGCTACATGGATGTAAGGAAGGCACTGCCAGCACAGCCTCAGCATCACAGCAGTGTCAGTGGGACTGGGATTTCACTGGCAATTATGCTGGGGAGGTAAAAGCCAGTAAATGATCCTATTCATTTCCCACTGTCTGCTGGCTTTGTGGGCTGATTGAGGGAAAAAAAAAAGGGAAAAAAGGAAAAGTAGTAAAATATTCTCTGCTTGTCAGAAGCTTGGGTATCGCTGTGAATACACAGAGGCAGAGCTGCTGAGTAAGGAAGGGCTGTTTTTGCATAAACACTTCGCAGGGAAGAGAGCAAGGCTTTGAAGCTGTCGGCAGCAGCCAGCGCTGAAGAGAGAGGCGCTGAAGGCAAAGGATCTTATCCTGCTTATACTCTGTCTTCAGGTCTTCTTACAGAGGGGGGGATGCCCACTGTTGTCCTCCTGAACTCCTGCTGGGTGTCTGTTGGCAGCAGAGTTTGGCATGATGTGCTGGCTGTGCAGCACTGCTGCTGCGAGGGAGGAGGGGCCTGTCCCAGCATCCTGCTGTGGCACTCTGGGGGTGCTCTGGCCACCACATTCAGAGCCATGAGCACCCTTCAGTTCCCTTGCTGGGGCTTTGTCTGAGGCTCTGTGGCCTCTCTGTCCCTCTGCTCATAGAAGCTGAGCTGCCTTGTGCCTTGGGCAGGAGTAAGTGGCCGCCCAGCCCAGGTCTCCATGAATTCCTGGCTTCTGTAACTCACAGCTAAGTGGCTGAAGAACGGGATGTCTTTGAAGCAGAAGGACAAACCCCGGGTCCTCTTCAGCCCCAGCATTGCCATAATGTCCTGGGGGAACATTAGCATCAACAGGCAAGTGATTTCCCTGTCCATCTGCTGCCCACTCAGCTCAGTCCCAGCCCAAGGGGACCCAGGGCCTCTCGGCCGGTCGCACTTGGGCACATGTGGCATGACGGTGACCGTTCCCAGGCCTGCAAACAGCTCATTAAACAGCACAGCTCTCATTAGTGACATAATTAGCACACCTGGGCATGCCTTGGGAGTGGGCACTGGGAAGGAAGCAGGAGGGGGTGCAGGAGGAGGCTCATTATCTTCCAGTGCAGAGCCCCGGACGGCAAAATGAAACAAGCCTATGTGTTTTCCTTCAAAGCCGTCGTTTTAATTGCTGGGGACCACCTGACCCTCAGCTCTGAAAGCCTCCCTGGGGGCATGTGGTGTGTACAGAACTCTCTTTGCTGACTTCTTCCACCTTTGTCTGTGTTGCCCAAGGCACGAAGGGCTGCAGCCACCCCCATGGTGAGGTGTTGCTCAGCAGTGGCACTGAGTGCCTGTGTCCTTTCTCTGGCAGGGATGGTGAACTTCAGCGAGGTGTCGGGGTACCCCCTCCTGCAGCACTGGAAGGTGCAGTCTGTCATGTACCATGTCCGGCTCAACCAGATGACCATCTCCCAGTGTGAGTGTGCAGGGACATGGGGAATAAGGGGAGAAAGGAGGGCAAGAGGTGACATAGCCCTCGCTGGCAGTGATGGGCTCAAAGGCTGATTGTGCATTACGAGTGCGTAGGGGGATAGCAAGGGCTTGGTGGGCACTGGAAACTCAGCATTTCCTCGATCTCCTTCCCAGCCTTCAGCAATGCACTCCACTCTCTGGATGGAGCCACCTCCCGTGGAGATTTTGTGGCGCTGCTGGACCAGTTTGGCAACCACTACATCCAAGAGGCAGTGTACGGCTTTGAGGAGTCCTGCTCCATCTGGTATCCCAACAGGCAGGTCCAGAGGCAGCTCTGGCTGGAGTATGAGGACATCAGCAAAGGTAGGAGCTTATCTTTGGGAAGGGTACTCATAGCCCCCCCGTGGGAGTGGGAAGCAGGGTTTGCTTTTGGCATTTTGGAAGGTGCCCAGCCTGTGTCAGGACTGCATCCCATGTCATTGTCCCACACCCTGCTCTCCTAGCCTTTGAAGCCACCTGAAGGATTCCCATGGATTGCAGCAGGCACTGGTACAAAACGAAAGACCAATACCCACAGCCCCAGGGAAAGACAAGTGCACAATCCCACCTAGCCATCCTGCCTCATTCTGGACTTCACCGTTGTCTTTAATCTTATTCTTTCCTTCCTTTTGTCTCTGCCATAGCTACTCTCTTCCACATGCATCCCGCAGCCAGACTTTTCTCCCTCCAGTGCGTTTCCTTCTCGTGGGGAGAATGTTTTTAATGCCAGGGAAGCAGTTAGGAGCTGGGAGGTTCATCATGGTGCCCAGGGCGTGTGGCACTGCTGCATCCCCCCCAGTGCCCTGGCTGCAGTGAGCTGTGATGGATCCCCTGGGGAAGAGCTCGTGCCCACTTTGAATGGCAGCTTTACAAAAGCTGAGGCAGCCTAACTCCTGCCTGCTGCCATCCGTCCTCAGGTCTGTGGTAGCTTGGTCTAGTGGAGAGTGTCCCTGCCCATGGCATGAGACTGGAATGAGATGGTCTTTATTGTCCCTCCCATTCCAAACTATTCTGTGATCTCTTGTGCTGGCCTCAGCAAAGCTGCCTGCAGGAGTTTTCCTGTCTGTGCTGGGGATGGTGGGTGGCAGCATCCAGGCTTGGGCAGCAAACAAGAGCCAGCTCCCAAGCCTGGGCATGGGGGATGCTGAGCACAGCTGCTGCTTTTTAGATGACCTTGCTTTGCTGCTGCTGCCCAGGAATTCCCAGGTGCAGGCAGTGTGAGCTTGGAGCTCACAGGTGCCACAACAGACACAACATTTCCATCATGAAGCTTCATAATTCTCAGTATTGGCACCAGCCTGTGGTGCTGCTCTTGCTATGTCCCAGCCACAGAGATATTTATTATCTCCCCAGGGCTCTTGTGTGGGAAGGGCTTCTTTCAAAGCCTGAGTCTGGATCCTGTGGGCTCAGGTCTCCTGGAGCGTGGACTTCTTCACAGACCCGGTGCTGTTTGGCTGTAGGCTGTCTCCAGATGTAGCACCTCCTGATTGCAAGTGCTTCTTTTTTTCTCCTGCAATTTCCTCCTCTTTGATTTTCGTGCTTGGAGGCTTTTCAGGTCTGGCAGCCTTTTTCCACCCACGGTATCACATTTAGGTTTCACTCTGGCACCTGCCACTTTCCTTCCTTTGCTTTTTGTTTGCAAACGTCAGGCGCTGGATATCGATTGAGAAATTGCAAGAGACAAATCATTCCCTGGCTCCTCTGCTTTTCCTCAGCGCCTACTAAGCTGCAATTCACAGCCAGCCTAAAGTGATCCATCTCCACCTTCCTGGGGGAGCAGAGCAACACTTTTGTATCCCAGGTTTTGTTTTAGCAGCCTTGTTTTCTTTGCAGGAGTCTCAAGGATGGGCTACTGCTGGCCCATCATTTCTCCACAAATCCTTGCTATGGGGAGATTTTCCTGTTCAGTCGTGGATGTGGTCCATGGTGGCTCCCCACAGCAGCCAGCCCATACCGAGTCACCACTAAGGATGGCTTGAGCTTGCCCTGGGGGTGAGGCTTTGCCTGGTTGTCCCTCAGCTTCCTCCAACCCCACCAACCATCTTCAATGGTCCCTCTAAGCCCCTCTGTCTTCTGTATAAATCCAGGGACATCCTTTGGCAGGGATTTTGTGTGAAAAGCAGCGTTTCCCTTCATGGCAAGGCTCGCCATGGCAGGGTGATGCTATCCAGGGCATGGCAGAGATTTTACAGATTTTACCTTTCTGACTTCTGTGCGAGGACTGTTCCTCTTGTGCCAAAATATTTCCTGCTACGTAGGGCCAGGAGGGCTTTTGCAGCAGAGGGGTCCTGCAGGGGTCTTTGTTGGGGACTCAGTGGGACGTGAAGGTGCCCAGGCAGCTCCTCCAGGAGTCCCCAGCCACATGGAGGAGGCTCCCTCTCGTGGGGCCCTGCTGTAAGGGTGGACTGTCCCAGTCCAGGTGTGGGGATGGAGCTGGGTAAACTGAGGCACGGGGAGACCAGAGGACCTGCAATCACAGGGGCCAGGGTGGGCTTTTTAGTCCTGATTCGTCCTCTGGAGACAAGTATTTAATCCCTACAGAGCAGAAGGATACAGGGGGCTCTTCAGAAGCACTGCCTCTCTCCTGGGTGGAAGGCAGAGCTCTGGCCCCCTCATATTCTGTTACAATGGCTTGGAGCCCACCCTGGTGTCACTTTTTCCCCCCTTCTCCAGGCAACTCCCCCTCGGATGAGTCAGAGGAGCGGGAGCGGGACCCCAAGGTGCTGACATTCCCCGAGTACATCGCCAGCCTCTCCGAGTCTGGCACCAAGCGCGTGGCAGCCGGCGTCCGGATGGAGTGCCAGAGCCGCGGGCGCTGCCCGTCTTCCTGCCCGCTCTGCCACGTCACCTCCGGCCCCGACGTGCCAGCCGAGCCCATCCTGCTGGAGGTCACCAAAGCAGCCCCCCTCTACGAGCTGGTCACCAACAACCAGACCCAGCGGGTGAGGAGCCGGGGGTGATGGGGTGCGCAGGAGGGAGCAGGACTGCGCTGTGGCTGTCTTTGGAGGCAGCTTGCCCAGACAGCATCGTGGCCAGCCCTGCTCTCCAGGGTGGATGGACTGTGCTGAACCCACCGGGGGATGGATGAACACTGGCACAAGTGGTGGCTCACCTGCCCCTTCTCCTCTCTCCCAGCTGCTGCAGGAGGCCACCATGAGCTTGCTGTGGTGCTCGGGCAGTGGGGATGTCATCGAGGACTGGTGCCGCTGTGACTCGAGTGCCTTCGGGGCTGACGGGCTGCCCACCTGTGCGCCCCTCCCGCACCCAATGTAGGTGCCCAGCCTGGCTTTTTGGTGTGATGGGGCTGTGAAGAGGTGGTGACGGCCAGCAGTGTGGTGGCAGGAGGTGGTGGGGCTGTGTGCCTTTGTGGGGCAGGTTTGCAAACTGATGGGTGACCTGGGAATTGAGAGTACAGAGTTGCAGTGTCTTTTCTGAGTTCAGGTGAGGATTGCAGGGCTGGTTGTGGATCCATCCTGGTAAAGCAACCCTAGGGAATGAGTCCTTTGGACCAACATGCCCAGAACCAAGAGGGGAAAGGGAGGGGGAGTAATTTCTCTCCTGAGGTTGCTGTCTCCTGTGAGTTAATGGCTTTGAGTCCCTTTTGTTGTAAGAAAGTAATGCAAAAATTGTCCCCCAGCCTGCGTCTCTCCACTGTGCATGAGCCCAGCAGCACATTGGTGGTACTGGAGTGGGGCCACTCGGAGCCCCCCATTGGGGTGCAGATTGTGGACTACCTCCTCCGTCAAGAGAAAGTCACCGACAGGATGGACCACTCCAAGGTGGAGACAGGTGAGTGGGGACTCCCCTGCTTCTCTAGGGAGAGTGGGATGGAGATGTTAGAAGAGAGCCTCTGTTTTTGCAGGGGAATGCTGCAAAAAATCAAATACCTGTGGAAGAGAGAGTAGCCCTTCTCCTGCCCACCATGCTGCAGAAAGGGACAGCTCCATACCATAGGGATGAACATTTCTGGAAGAACAGTGGGTCCAACTTCACACCAACTTCCTGCGTTAGCCTTGTTTCCCCTTGGCACCAGGCAGTGTGGCAGCAGGCACAGGCTCTCCACAGCCCCAGGTGTCCCTGTGCCATCACCTGTGGCACATCCTCCCCTCTCTCCCTAGAGACAGTGCTGAGCTTTGTGGATGACATCATCTCTGGTGCCAAGTCCCCCTGTGCCATGCCAGCCCAAGTGCCTGACAGACTCTCCTCCACCATCTCCCTCATCATCCGCTGCCTGGAGCCCGACACCACCTACATGTGAGTGCCCTGTGCCATGCCTGTGGCACTGCTGACATCCTGATCCCGTTTGCTGCTGCCTGTAGTTCCATGTGGCCTTGGGAGCCCAGAGCTTTGTTTTTTCCCCTTCTCATCCAGGTTCACACTCTGGGGAGTTGACAACACAGGAAGACGTTCCAGGTCAAGCGATGTGACAGTCAAGACGCCCTGCCCTGTGGTGGATGATGTGAAAGCTCAAGGTGAGATGGAGGGAGCTGCTGGACTGTGGTGCTTGGGACAAGAGGGAGTTCCCCTTCCAGCATGTTCCTGTACACATCTCATGTCCTGGCTGTAACATCTCCTTCACCCATAGTGGCCCAGGAGCTGCCACGTGGTGCGGAGGGCTGAGGTGGGGGTCTGCAGGAGGCACATGTCCTCTCTGAAAACAAAAGTGAATAAATGGTGTTTCACTAATGCTACCTGATGGAATCACCCATTTCTTTTCTTAATTAGACCAAACTGTGGGAAGCTAACCTGGACTGAGTCCAGGGAATGCCATCTAGTCTGTTGGGACCTTGTCCTGATGTGATGTAAATCATAACTCAGTGGACAAATCTTGGTTCTGGTCCTGGCTCCCCTAGAACTGAGCTTTAGCCCTGGCAGGCTTTATTCATGCCTTCCCTTGCACCCCACTGAACAGCCCCTGTCCTTCTGCCCAGAAATAGCAGACAAGATCTACAACCTCTTCAACGGCTACACGAGTGGCAAGGAGCAGCAGACAGCCTACAACACCCTGCTGGACCTGGGCTCCCCCAGCCTCCACCGAGTCCTCTACCACTACAACCAGCACTACGAGAGCTTTGGGGAGTTCACCTGGCGCTGTGAGGATGAGCTGGGGCCCAGGTAGGCTCGGGAGCTGAGCTGGCTAAGCAGGCAGGCCTGCCCACCAGCAGGCTTGTCCCTCATGGATAGTGGTCACCAGGAAGGCTTCTCTTCAGCAGATCTCATTGTATGATGATGGGTGATAGACCTCAGAGTGTCACAGTGGGGTTTCTATTTTGCTGGGTGCTGTGCATGTGCAAGGACCGTTAACATAGGACAAGGTGGAAAGTGGTTGGCTCTTGTCAACTCAACACTGCTGTCCATCCCATCAGCCCTATCCTGTCTCTGGAGTCTGCCCTGACATGTTCATGCTAGAGGCATGAGTGTTCATGTTCAGGCAGAGTGGCAAAGGGATGTGATTCTCTTTTTTCCTTCATAACTGATGCCACAGGCAAAAAGGCAGAAGGTCTTGGAAAAACAACACACCTTTGAGGGATGGAGATTGGATTCTGCTTCTGCCTTTTCCTGAACTTTGGCTTGAGCCGAATGCACCTCTCTGTGCTGAGCTCTGTCAACTTGTGGTCCCCAGCAGGCAGAGGACTGGCTTGAGGTCTGAATTGTGCATTTCCTCACTTGTGATTCACTTCTGTGGTTGTGTGGGGCTGACACAAGTGTTTTTGGTGCCCAGGCAGTGCTGAGCTGCCACAGCAGCTTTTGGAGGAGGTTCTCCTGAGCTCTTCGTGTCTAAAATAGTCTCTTTGTACCTGAGTAAGCACCATGTCTTCTCTTCAGGCTTCTCCAGGTCACTGAAGCCCCTCCAGCTGCCTGAGAATGTCCCAGGCTTGTGGAGATAGCCAGATGTGTTCCCTTCTCCTCATGTCCTTCAACATCTGCTTTAGTCTGCGTGGTTTCCCAGTAATGTAAATATTTCCAGTCAGTTTAGCAAGCTGGGCTGGGAGATTGCGTGTGCTGCAGTGGTGTTTCACAGCATCTGGCCTCCAAACAACCAGAGCTGTGACCTCATCTGGAAATCAGGGTTACTTTCAAATGTACATCAGCAAGAGCTCCCATGTATGGAATTCATGGCCATCGCCTTACACCGTGCCCCACCCCTCCTCTCGCTGGTCTCACCACTGTCTGTCTTCCAGCCCTGCTTCTCCAGGTGATCACTTGTGTACTTCTAGCAGGGGACAGGAGATTCTCCATGTACATTCTGTGTCCTCCAAACCTCTGCTAGGCAGAGACACTCGGCAAGTAGCTTGTGCCTATCAGTGCATTGGACTTGTCTCCTGGTACAGCTTTGGTGGGAAACTCTGAGGAGGCTCTCCATGCCCTGGAGTGGAGATGGGGGTCTCCTCTCTTTTCCCTTTTCCCATTTGTGTCCTAAGAAATGTGCACTATTTGAGGCACAACCTCAAAGCTCAGTAGCAACATTGCAGCACATGGAGTCTTTTTAGGGCAGAGGCTCACAGCTGCTCCTCTGCCTAGGGTTGCCTCATTCCCCCACACCGAGCGGGATCAGTCGGCTTGGACTTTAGTCTCACCTTTGTCTTGATCCCAGCTGCGGTGATGCCGCTCTGTCTCCGTTTCCAGATGTAAAATCCAGCCCCAGTTTGCACAGATCATCTGACATCTGTTGTGGTGATTTGCATGAGGAGCACATAAAATTCCTTACGTGACAGACTGGAGTCATCACAGAGCCGCTGCCATCGCCGAGGCTCAGTGTTGCCACTGCTGCTCTCTGCCCCAGTGAGGACCAGCCAGAGCACGGCGTGGAAGCTGCCTCCTTGAGCCCCACGAGGCAGAGGCATTGCCATGGAGCAGCCAGAAATGCCACTGAATTACCCAAATGACACCATTTTCTGTGTGAATCTACGAGCCAGAGGGTTAATTGCACCCTCTGGAAAGGCTGGAGCGCTCAGGATAGGATGACGCAAGTTGCTGATGAAGTGTTTGCAGCTCGCGCTCCTTGGAAAGAGGCATTTAGGCAGCTGCAGCGGGCTCTGGTGATGACAAATCTTGGAAAGCAGACCTCCTGTTTGATCGTCTGCGAGGGCGAAGCACCCAGACTGGTGGTGACAGGACAAATCACTTGCAGATGACATTATTTAGCCAGCAGACAGTGTTTGTTTGACTGTTACTGATGCTCCTTTGAAGTCATGGATGCAGACCCACGCGACTGACTCTACCACGTCCCTCCTCCTCCACGCGTCCAGGGCACCTCCTACTCTGCTCATTTGTGGCACACTCAGCTCCCTTCTTGGCAGTGCTGCTGGTGGACCGAGGAAGCACAGCTTGTTGTGAGTGCACAGATAACTTGTCTGAGGCTGCGAAAGCAAGCCGCTCCCTCACGGTCCAGGAAGGGCTGCAGAGAGTCCTGGTTTTTGCATAAGGAAAGGAAACGAAGAAAAAAGCAAGCAGTAAGTGGAAGTTGGATTTGGTGCAAAGCCTAGTGAAGTCTGGTGGGGCCTATGGGCTTTGAATGAAAATCTTGGGATCATATCAGGCATTCCTGTGAGGGTACCTGTAGTGCTGGAGGAAGAGAGGCACTTGTGGCACTTTGGTCAGATGCAGAGACCAAGACAAGTCACAGCTTGGCTATTTTCTCGTGGCTGGCCAGCTTGGGTGGCTGTCTCCACAGCCAACACCATGTTAACCACCTTTTCCTCTCGGCATGCCCTGGACATGAGCTCTGGGGTGGCACTTGTCATGTGGCTGCAGAGCTGGGCAACCTTTCAGTGGCTCTGGATTGGGCCCTTGGAGCTGCAGTCACATCCAAGGTTTTTCTCCAGGAAAGCCAGTGTTGGCTCTGACTGGACTTGGGGTAAATTAATTCCTCTTCAGGCAGCTCTCCCATGGTGTGCCTGGCCTGGAGGGAGGTGTGGAGAGGCAGTGGATGTTCCTTCATGGTTGGTACACATATCCTGGAGCTGTCAAACCAGCCCACCCTGCTTTTCCTGAGTAAGAATGTCCAGTAAGAATGTGATTTTTTTTTCCATCAGAATCATGATTTGTGACTGCTGCCTGTTCTGGGCTGAGCAGATACTGAGTTAAAGCTAGTGAGGGACTGTATCTTCTTTTCCCTGACTATTCTAACCTACCAACTGGCCTTGTAGATGAGTAGGAAACTTAGCTCATCAGACACTTAAACTTTGGTCTGGGTTTCCAGGCACATGAGATACCTTCAGGATGCTTAATTTGAATCCATTGCCTCCACAGAGGCCACATTCCCTGGAGATCACCCAAAGTGTGAGACAAATTTAAAATGAACACAATGTGTTTTATCTGTACAAACTGATTTTCCTGATAAAAACATTAGAAGTAAAACATTAGAAGTGCAATTTTAAGAGGACAGATTTGAAAGGAAGAGAACACAACTTAGATCATGTTTGGCCATGATCCTCTGTGCTCTTCCAATATCTCATCCAATACAAGAGGTTGGTGATTTAGCACTTACTAGCAGGACAAGCCTGCACTGAGGCTATGATGCCCTGGGTGTGCTGGGTGTCTCTTGCAGAAGATGGATTCCTCCTGGACCTCCTCTGCCTCTGTCACCTGACCTTCTCTCAAGGCTCCCTTGGCTGGGTTGTGGCTCTTTACAAGCTGCTGCTGCAGTGACTTGCCTTTCCTCGTCTTGTTCTCCACAGCTGAAGATGTAAAATGCACATGCAAAGAACCACGGAGCTGTGCCACATCCCCTGCTCTCTCAGAGCTTTTTGGATGGTGTAGCCCCAGTGCATCCCTTCTGGTTTGCACGGTGTCCTGTAGGACACATTTCCAAAGCAGTTACTAAATATCATGAGTCATGCAGCAGGAGTGTCATTCACTGTACTTATGTCTTGTGACATTGCATCCTGTGTAAATCGTAATTTTTATTTCACCTTCAACCTTCCATACAGACCCTCACAATCCAGACATGACATTCTGGTTTGTTCTTTTTTTTTTTTTTCCTTAAATCTCCCTCCTCTCAGTGGTATCTTGGCTTGCTGCTCGCAATACTGTGCATTTCTGGCACTCGAGAAGTTGAGGTTGCCCCATTTCTGGAAATGTTCAGGGTCAGATTGGGACTTGGAGCAACCTGATCAAGTGGAAGATGTCCCTGCCATGGGATGGGGAGTGGAACAAAATTATCTTTAAGGTCTCTTCCAACCAAACCATTCTGTGATTCTGTGATTCCTACACCAAGCCATGAATGAGCAGCATAGCTCCTGAATACGCAGCACACACACTTAATGGAGAGGACACACATGGTGACACTGTTCTGGGCTGGCCATATATGTCATGCCTGACACTTCTTAGCTTTTATCCCCACTGCCTACAGTGCTGTTGGCTCTGTTTCCCATCCTGTAATATTTGGGGTCCAGTAGCTGCAATAGTGACTGGAGGTGCCACTTGAGTCCTTGGTGACGTCCAGCCCAGGGGGTGCTGGGGGTTTCACACCTACACCTGTGACTGTCTCCTTAATAAACTCTCAGCAACCCTGGCCTTGTTGTGTGAGTGGTACAGGGTGGAAGAAGAAGAGGGGACAGGACAGTGAAATGTGAGTCCCAAGACCAGTGCAACAGGTCCAGCACTGCCATGGTGACACTGGCATCTCTGCCCTGGGTAGGGGCTGTTCTCACATGGATTTAGCTTGCAGTACTGCCTTGGGAATGGTGTGTCCCCACAGCCCTGCCATCCCTCCCTGTCCTGGCAGCTCCTCACAGCTGCTCTTGCATTACTCTTCTCCCTCAAGGAGCTCCCGTGGTGTCCTTAACTGTCTTTACTTTTCTCTCCTCATACATTCCTCCCGCCCTTCCCGCCATCCTCTCTGTGGTGTCTCCATCACTCCTGCCACCCCTCGTTGTCCATCGCCCCCCTGGCATCTCCCCTTGCCCGCCCTCGCTGCAGGAAGGCTGGCCTCATCCTCTCGCAGCTGGGGGACCTCAGCAGCTGGTGCAATGGCCTCCTGCAGGAGCCCAAGATCAGCCTGCAGCGCTCATCCCTCAAGTACCTCGCCTGCCGCTACAGCGAGATCAAGCCCTATGGGCTCGACTGGTCGGAGCTCAGCCGGGACCTCAGGAAGACGTGCGAGGAGCAGACGCT